CAGAAACATTTAGATAAATCCCCAGCCCCTCTCTTAATTCTTTAGTGGTCATATATGTTACAGATATCTTCTCTTGGTGTATAAGTATAATTTATCTTTTGGTGGGCATTATTCATTCTAATGTAGTTAAATTACATAAATATTTTCCTTAATGGTTTGTGATTTATACTTTTAAAAGTATTCCATAAGGAAAAAATATTAAAATAACCTTGTTTCTTCTTATCAAATTTTGCTCCTTGTTTTATAATTTTAGTATCTTTAATCCAGCTGCAATTAATTTTTATACGGTATATGGTAGAGAACTAACTTCTCTATACATAACATTTGTTTAAAAAGGTCTATCTTTGGATTGTCTCTTAAGACACTTCGATAAATTCATTTCTACAGCATTGGCTTTTTATTCAGCTCCTTTAGTCTATTTACTGACAAATGTTCTAATACTTGTCCTTTGTATAGAAGGATTTTAGAATAAATCATTGCATCTAATAGAACACAACTCTCACTGTACAGCTAGCCAAAGCTCCTAATTCTCTATACTTTCCCTGTTTATAGTGAGGAACGATCATTTACCTTTTGAACAAAGAACTTCTCATCATTTAGCTTCTGTTACTATATTAATTTTGAGTTCTACTTTAATACAAACCCTCATCAATTATATACGAAATAAGTACATAAGTTTATCAAAATATTTTATCGATTTTTACAACTACTGCTTTTTTATGTCTCATGCCCTTCTCCTACATGCACTTTTCTATTATGGAAGCATTTGAATTTTAAATGCTTTTATGAATTATTTTCTATTTTGATTTTATGAATTATTTTCTAACTTTTGAACCAGATACTTTTTTGTTTGACAATTCTCTCAGCACTCCAGAGTGAATTTACTTACAGTTATCTTGTTTGGTGGTTGGGAAGCACTTTCCATCTGTGATCCATGTTCTCCTTCAATTCTCTTAACAATCTCAATTACTGCCTCAAACTATTTTTTTTAAATGTTAAAAATGCTGCCATTCTTCTGAATTTCTTACTGGAAGCCTTTTTAGCTTATCTTTATTCCAATTTTCTTAGAAGTTTTTTTAGACTTGTCATTTCCTTTCTCTGTTCTGCATCCTGGATAATGACCTTAATTCCTTCTTATAGTTTTTAATAGAGTCATTGATTATGCCTATATAATTAATTTAGTTTTACATTGTCCACTGCATTTTCACGTTAGTTTCATAAACCATTATATTTATGTAAAAGTTATTATTTTATGACTTTGATGGTACTTATATTTATTTGAACATGTGATGTGACTCTAATACATAACTAATTGTACCTGAAATATAGCCGTGTTCTAATTGCTGTTTATAAAGTATTAGATTTCTTCATGAGTTATAGAATTTCATTTTTAGAATCTTCTCAAAAGTGGTTCTTTGTTTTATCTTTGTCACTCAGACTCCCTCCTGTGCTTACCCTTTCAGTCCAGTAGATGTATCCCCCGGAGGTCCAGTGTTAAACTGGTAGACCAAACTTATTAATCCATGGCGACATCTGGGATATCACAGATTATGATTCAAGATGACAGGTGGCAGGTTAGTTTGGTCTCCAATTGTAACACTGTCCCCTGTCTTATTCAGGTCCCTGGACCAAAGCTTGGTGTAAGTCACAGTCCCAGGATTAAAAGTTCTTTTGTGTGTGACTAGTAACATCCAGACTGTCTCCCAGCTCTAAGCTGTTTCTGTTTCTGCAGTCAGAGCAGGAGAAACCTGTGTCCCTGTTGTTCTGTCAAGGCCTGTTGTTCTAACAAGCCTCTGGCTTCATATAACCTTACTTGCAAACCTATTCCCTTACTAGTCCACAGATATATTTACTTCTTATTAGCTCATCTTTAATGTTCCGTATTTTCTCTTCTGTATTGTCTCCCATAGGTATATAATTGAAAAAGAAGAGAGGCATCAAAGTTAAGGTGCCATGAAATCTTCAAGTCTCAGAATTGCACGTTTTTCTAACTTAATTAAAATTAAATTGGAAGAACACAGGAAAATAAATCATTCTGATGCAATGAAGAAGAGTGATAAATGAGAAAGAAAAAGATAATAATAATTAAAGTTCAGTCTATGTTCAGTATTTGAAGTGGCTTGCTTGGATAATGTCCTTCTAATTTTCACTTTACCTTTATACTACTGCCAACCTTATCTTTCAAAAAATAACAACAAAAACCTTGAAGAACAGTGAGAAATGATGTAACTTTCTTGAAGTCACATGAATACAAAATAGTTGTTTTGAAATAAGTGAGTCCAATTCGAGTGAAAATCTGTAGTATGTGCTACTGCTTACTCCCTCCCAACTTTGCCTAAAATAGCTCTGTAAGCCTAGAAATGTCATTTGTCAGTTATTTTAACTCTCACCTGTGAAAAGAGATTGTTATATTAAATCACTTGTAATATAGTTTTCTAAGCTCTAGTTTTCTATGATATCTTAAAAATGAATTCATAGTTCTGTTTAACTTCCTATTTCAGAGTACCCTTGTAAATCTGTGTTGGGAGTTGAAATGTCTGACAAATATCCAAATTTATGTTACTACAATCTCTAATGACATTTACAAATACAAGTATTCATATATGTGCATATATATATGATAACATATATATGTATGTCATTACAGATTGTAATAAAATAAATAAATTTATATATAAAACACCCTTTGAAATACTCTACAAGAACCAAGTAAACCCTTCAAATTATACAACTGCAATTATAATATCTAGCGAATGTCAACTCAAGAAGTGTGAAATGTCCTGAATATGAATTTAATACTAAAAGTTTTGTATGAAAAGACTTGAGGTCTGGTCTTCATTCAGCTTCTAACTGAATCCTACCATTTTTTTCAATTTCAATTTCTTTTTTTTAAATAAGGTAGGTGTTTTATTTTAATTTTAATTTTTATTAGTTCATATTTGCAGTATGTAGTGAGTAAATTCATCGTGGGAAGCTGGTAATAGTACTTTAGTTCTGCCTAGGTTTCTGAGTTCCTTTCTAACATACTCTTAGTTGATGAGTCTGGATTTATTAAGATAATTAAGTGTACCTGTTAGTTATTAAACCAACAAATTTGGGCATGGTGGTTTATGCCTGTAATCCCAGCACTCTGGGAGACAACTAGGAGACTCACAAGTTTCAGCCCAGCCTGGGAAACTTAGCAAGATCCTGTCTGAAAACAAAGCAAAACAAAATCTCAAAAAGCCTGGAGATGTAGCTCAGGATGAAGTCTTTGCATTCAATCCTCAATATCCTCCCCCCACGCACTAATTTATTTCATTAATGACAAAATATTTAAGTCAAGTTACTTTCTTAATTTGTCCCTTAATAGTAAAAGTATGCCTCTATTTAGATAAGAAGTCTTCTAGTCAGATTGTCTGTTTTAATTTCTTCCTGAACAGTTATTGATTCTAAATTACTCTTCTATAAAATGATCTTAATCACAATCCCTACCTACAACAATGCTATGATGATTAAATAAGATAAAAAGAGTACTGTATCTGGCATATAGTATGTGATCAGTATTTTTTATTTTTTAAGAATGGTACACAAGTATTTAAAGGGTGTTTTAAAATTAAACTAAACAGCGAATATTTCTAAGCATTAATTAAAAAGAAGATATAGGCATCCTCATGAATAATTTAGGTATCCAGAGACAATGGGCTGTGATCAAGGAAAATTTTTTACTGTTTTTTGATACACTAAAACCTCACACTCGTGTCTGCATGTATTTATTTGATTGGAGTGATAATTCAGTGCACATTCAGTGTTGTTGTGTAGAGTATAATATCTAAAAACCATAGGCAAATGGGAAAATCAGTGAAAATATATGTGAACCTTTAACTTACTGGTAATGCAACTTCATGCTCTGTGATCAGGATGCATTTGTCAGTAAAGAGACAACTAAAACTAAAATCACTATTTTCTCTAAGCCCCTGGAATTGCTTCAAAATTGTGTATAGTCTATGACATCTTTGTCAAAATATATTTTTCTGTACTTTGGGCTGAAGTGGAAAAAAATAAATTGAAATATGGTAAAGGGAGGAACAAAAAAAAGAGATGACTGAAACATTACAATGAAAGATTCATCCTGTAAATATCCTTTTAACAAGACCGCAATGTTTACATTGTAAATAAACTTTAGGTAAATTCTAATTTTATTAAAACATAAAAATGGAAAGGAGAAACAGATAAAACTAATAACTTTGCCCAAACTGAAATACATGTCTGCAGTTTAGTATATTATATCTAATTTAATTCCTTTGGGCTATGTCAACATAAATTTCAAAATTGTTTACATTTCTCTAAAAAATTCAGAGTACCTAAATTCAGGATCATTTTACGACTTGAAGAAACTAAAAAATCTCTTCTTTTAGTTTTTGTTAGAAGTGACCTACATCAAAGAGTTCAATGAGAATTAATGTTGGAAACTGTCTTGAAGATACAAATTGCTATAATTATCTTTGAATATACATATCATTAAACTAGAATGGATGTCAATAAACCAGCAAAAAAATCTCCATTAGTCACAGTACATTATTACAAAACCAAAGTAAAACAGTTTATTTTACTCTTTCAACAAATGTAATCTGGACTATAATTTTCACATTTAATCTGTATACATGAATTCAAATATAATTTCCCTGCATTCTTCTATTTTCAAATGACAGTTAGATGCTTAGATAACATGTATTTTAAGCCAAAATCAGAATTTAACTTTGTAAGGAGAACATAAGCATGGTAGTGAAAGAAGAAAACTGTTTTGCTAAGACAAACTGAAGTAAGCATGATAGGGTATTTTAAAATCTCTACAATATAGTTAAAATTCAAAATTGTATGTGAAAAAGCAATTCCTAACAACATTCAGAATACTTTCACTCCTTTAATAGAGATAGTATAGTAGGAGAGAAAATACAATGCTCAGTTATTCATTTTGATTGCAGTTTTTAATGTAATCTGCCCTGCGCATCCTACTTTACCTTGTCAGAGAGTATTGCTTCCCCAGGGCTGCTGCAGGGTCCTGTTGACGGATTGCTCTAATTGCAGTTGGTGCTGTAAACAAGGCAGCAACTCCATGCTCTGCAAGCACACGGAAATAAGCACCAGCATCTGGTGTTCCCACAGGCTTCCCCTGAAATGAGATTCATTTAAAATGTCACTGAGTAACATGCCTCATATTTCATTGACAGTTCAATACTTGCACATTTAACACAGCAGTATTAAAAGGGCTAGGTTCTCAACAAATCTTAGTTTTAAAATATTCTCCTGTTACAGTATAAATAAAACCAACCAAATACCTGGGCATCAGAAAAGATGTTTGCTTCTTCAAGACACCCTAAAAGCTTATGTTTCATTTGATAGATAAAAAAAACAGAAATAGCAGGATTCAACATGGTCAAATATAGGAAGAGCCATGTTGGAGTTACTCAGAGAAAGTCAATTAAAAGCACAGATAACTGGAAGAAAGGGAGGGACATACATCCTGATGCCAAAATCAGTCTGAAATAAGAGGCTCATAGATTAAACAAAACATAAGCACAGGACTTTATAAGAAGGCGAAGCAGCCCACAGGGCTGTCTGAGGGATTTCCACTTGTACATAGAGGAGGGTAGAGCAGCTACTGCCCTTTTGGGAAGTTCCCCCGACCACCAAAAAAAAAAAAAAAATGATGGCCTGCAATAGCATAGCACATTCAAGCCATGCAAGATAGATTTGGGATATAAGGTTCCTTGCCTCATTTGCCTTTTTCCAAACAGAGGATTTTGCAGCCTGGTGCAAATTTCACCAGCATACACAAGGGTGAAGGAGCAGGAAGCTGTTCCCTCCCTGATGGGCCACCCTTTTTTGTTGTTGTTTTTTTTTGTTTTTTGTTTGTATAATTGTCTGTTTTGGTCTTATAACATAGTGGCTGACTGGAACTTCTAGGGACAACAAACAAGGTTAGGCACTGAAGTGGTGAAGGTAGTTAGTGAAGTAGCACCACTCCTCCTGCCCTGCTTTCAACCTCAGGAGAGGAGATGGATGTGGGACTTCAGCGGCCTTTGGCTACATGCAGGATACCAGTACTCCCTGCAATTTGCTCCCAATGGCACAAGAGAGGAGAGAGAAGTAGGAACTAAGCAGCCTTTGGCTGTCTCCACGGTGGCAGCAGATTCAGTGAGTCAGCCAACAGTATTCCCCCCACTCTGCATTCAGTAGCAGTGAGAGAAGAGAGAGATGGGCCGGCAGAGTGGAACAGAGGAGGCTGTGCATGGACATGGAGGGTCCAACTGTACTCCGGACTGGGAAAAGCCTTGGGATGAGAGAGCCATAGCGACTGGGAGAAAGACACAGAGACAAACAGGTAAGGAGACATGAGGGACCCCAAAGAGACATCCAGAAAGTTGTTAGCTAATGATTCTGGCTCCAGCCTCCACATCCAGAGGCAAAGATCAGCCCCTCACCCAGCGAAAATCCTACTGCAGATTTGGTGGAGATATGCAGCACAGTTTTGGACTCTAACTTGGACACTACCACAAAACAGTGGACATCAGAGGAATTTTATTGTTTTGTTTTCCTTTTTCTCTTTGTTGTTGTTGTTGTTGTTTAGGTTTTTACTATTATTGTTTTATTTTGTTCATCTTTTTTCTCTTTCCACAACTGACCTTGATTTTTTAAATATTTTCATGTGAGCGAATATTGCCTCCAGTCTTTCTGGTTCACCTGGATATTCTTTCTTTCTCCTTCATTCTTTTTCTCCTGTCCTCTTCTCCAGTTTCCCATAGCTTGGACAATCATGGACAATCATCGTTCATCCTTCAGCTTTGCTTCTAATAAATTTTTGCTCATTTATCTCTCTATTTTTCTCTTATGCCTCTTAAATCCCCCCACACACACACAGTAGGAAATCACTTTAATAAGAGGAAACTCAATGCATACAAATTACTGGTGTATGTCGGATTTTCTTTATAGAACTGTAGATCTTGTTCCTATGGTTAAAGGTAACAAAATAATAGTTACCATAGTTTTTTTAGTTTACAGGCTGTGCTTGATGTTATTGTTATTGCTAATTGTACTACTTTTGCTAGAGTATCATACCTGTTGTAATCAGTTTTTCTCCTTTGTATGAAAGCACTGTAATTGTCTGGGGCCATAATCATCACCATAGTCCTGTGACAAAGAACTGGGTCCTGGACCAAATAGATAGCAATTTCTCACCTCTAATAAATTGGGAAGGTTAAAAAAAATGAGAAGGTAGAATACTGGGACAGACACAAAATCCAAGAGCCAGCTAAATCTAGAAGACATCTTTGAAGAATATCTATTTCCTAGGAAAGCCTCTATACTAGTGATAAAGCTACCTACCTACCAAAAGCAATCTACAAGCATCAACACCGAAAACAAATTAAAATTTTAAAAAATAGAAAATGACAAGACACAGAAGCAAAATGCACCTGCAAACCTCCAGCCTACCCAGGCTGATCAAGAGAAACAAAGAAGGTCACTACATGTTTGTTAAACAAAAACTCCAATATGTAATGTGTAAACCAGCACACCTATTTAAAATTAACATCCTTAATGAACATGAAAAATCAAACATTAACACAATTTTAATGGGGATCTCAACAACCCACTGTCACAAATAGACAAGTCAACTAGACAAAAACATCAACAAAGAAACAACAAAATTGAACCAAACCTATGAACAAATGTGATTAATGGATGTCTGTAGAATGTTCCAACCCACAACATCAGAATATACCTTCTTTTCAGCTCTGTATGGGTTCTTCTCCAAAATAGACCTCATACATAGAACATACTTAAGTAAATGCAAAGGAACTGAGATTATCCCAAGTATCCTATCAGACCACAGGGCAGTGAAATTGGAAAAATGGAAATGAAAATGACTAAAGACAATTTATAAACACATGGAAATTAAATAACACCTTCTCAAATAACCAGTGGGTCACAGATGAAATCAAATTAGAAATTAGACAGTTTCCACAATTAAATCATAATTCCAATGAAACATTCTGGAACTTATAGAACACAATGAAAGCAGTCCTAACAGGGAAATTTATAGTGGTGAATACTCACTTGAGGAAAATAGAATGAATTCAGATAAATAACCTACGTTTGAATTTCAAAATTTTAGAAAAAGAAGAGCAAGTAAAGCTCAAAGCTCATACAAGGGAGGAAAGATCAGAGAAGAAATTAATGAATTTGAGACTCAGAAAACAATACCAAAAATCAATGAATCAGAGTTGGTTCAAATTAATCTAAAAAAGGAAATAAAATATCTTTATATTAAAGCTACAGTACTCTGAAGAAGGAGATCAAAAAGGATATCAGAAATGATATATTCCCGTATATAATTTTCTACCATGTAAGGCAGAAAGTGTTTACATTAATGGATGATGAGTCCTTTGTTAAAAATCCAGGTAATGTCTCAATTTCTCACATATTTCGTATTGATTTTATGCTTTCAAGATAGGAAAGTAGTGAAATACAATTCCTTAGCAAAAGAAATGAAAAAACATTCAAGTTAAATACATGCACAAGAATTAATTGCTTTATTATTAACTCTATAATTCAGCCTACACAAAGCTGGAGGTCAATGCTATTTGCAGTCCTTCAGACTCTGAAATAAAATATTTTTCAGTCAACCACAATGTTTGCCTTGTGTCCATACATCCGGTGTCTTTCCAAACATACTTTTGCAAATGTCACCCAACCCATGTTTCTCCCACAGTTCTGAGGGGAAGATAGCAGCATCCCTGTCAGGTAGTGCTGAATTTCATCTCACCAGATAGGTGCTGCAGAGCATTGTCGTGTATATTTCAAAATAGTAATGACACTGAAAAAAGCATGTTCTGGGTTCCTCCTAGGTGTTGTGCGCTTTTATCAAAGCATGGGAGTTTGGGCCTGTAATATTTAAACTGAAGACTTCTTAAAGAAAAATCACATCTTCTTTATCCAGTCTCCAACTAATGGGCAATTGGGCTGCTTCCAAATTCTAGCAATTATAAGCTGTGCTGCTATAAGCATGAGTAAGCACATATCACTGTGGTATGATTCTTTTAATTCCTTTGGGAAGATACTCAGCTGGGTCAAACAGAACCTCTAATTCTAGTTCTTTGAGGTATCTCCATATTGATTTCCATAATGGTTGCACCATTCTGCACTCCCACCAACAATGGAAAAGGGTTCCTTTCATCCCACAACTCCACCAACATTTGTTATTGGTTAATATCTTGATAGCAGCCATTCTTTCTAGGGTGAGGTGGAATCTCAGGGTCGTTTTCATCTGAATCTCTTGAATGACCAGTGATGTGGAACATTTTTCATATATTTATTTGATGCTTTTACTTCTTTGAGAAATGTCTGTTCATTTCAGATGCCTATTTTTGAATTGGATTTTTGTATTTGGGAGGGTTGATTTTTTTTGAATTCTTTATATATTGTAGATAACACTCCTTTGTCTGAGGAGCAGCTGGTAAAAAAAAAAAATTCCCACATTGTAGGCTGTCTCTTAGGTTTGTTATTGGATTTTTGTAGTGCAGAAACTTTTTAATAAGATGAGATCCCAGTTGTTGATTCTTTGTGCTAGTTCCCATGCTACTGAGGATTTGTTCATAAAGTCTTTTCCTATGCCAATGTCTTCAAGAGTTCTGCCTAACTTATCTTCTAGCAAATTTAGTGTTTATATTTCAATATTTAGATCTTTAATCCACTTGGATTTTAGTTTGGTGCACGGTGAAAGATGAAGATCTAGTTTTAATCTTTGTCAGGTTGAAATCCAGTTTTTCCAACAGTATTTATTAAAGAGGCTATCTTTCCTCCAGTAAGGATGGTTGGCTCCTTTGTCAAAGATGAGGTAGCTGAGTACATCTGGAGTTGTTTCTGTATCTTCAAATCTATTCCATTGATCCTCAGGTCTGTTTCCTTGCCCGTATCATGCAGTTTTTATCACATGGAATACTACTCAGCCATAAAGAATGAGAAACTAGAGTCATTCATAGGAAAATGGATGCATATTAAGGCCATACTCTTAAGTGAAATAAATAAGTCACACATGTGTAAATACTGAATAGTTTCTCTGGTGTGAAAAACTAAAAGTGTAAATAACATCCAAATGATAAAATTGATAAT